TGAGAGGTAACAATAGAAGAATACAATATACAAAAAACTATCAAAATGCATTACAATGTAATTAAAATGAATTAAAAACGAAAACTTGTTTATTATGTAAAAAACATTTATTTTTTATAGTATAATGGTAAATACTTGTTAATATATATTTTTTGAGTATANTAATATATATTTTATAAAACTGTGTATTTCACAAAATAAGANATATAAGTTTACTTTTTGATACAATTCGTTGTCATATTTACAATTCCAATCCCTGTTGTATAACAAAATATATATGTATGTTTATATACACTTGATATATATAATATGTATGATTTGTAGAATAGCATAATACCATAATAGCATAATGTTTTGCAGATATAGCAATAAAATTTTAATATCCAATACAAATTAAAGTATTAAAATATCAAAGTATTATAAATTAAAGTATAATATCTATTTTATATAAATGAATGTTTAAATTACTTTAACTTTATATTATTTTTATAATTTATCAATAACTTTTAAAAATTCATTTAATTCCTCAATATTTGCTATTACAATAAATTTTGAAAGTGAATGAATTTCGTTATTTATATAAATATTAACCTGTCCATTTTGCAAAAAAGCAATTCTTTTTNTTACACTACAATCACTCTCCATTTTTTGAAAACCAAAAAACATTTCATTTCCTGTTGAATAACTCCATCCTGTACAAGGAAATGTAATCAACTCCAAATTATCTTGCAAGTATTTAAAATGATTGCGTCCATCAGTTTTAGGTTTCATCATGCTTCTTTTTTTCAACAACTAAAAATAATAATAAAATATATATATTTTTTTCCTGAGTAACATTAATATTTTTACTTTAGAACTCATGTTTGCTTTTTTATACTATTTTTATGTTATATCTATTGTAAATAAGTATATAATATTATATTATATACTATACCTTTCAATATTATTATCTTTGTTTCTCTAGAAAAATATAAAATATATTCACAATTATATCTTCATCTGTGCGGCGCTCTTCTGAAATATATTTAATTATATTAGGTTTAATTAAGTTAAACATAGTTTATATTATATAATTCGGCAAACATAAAGTAATAATAACATAAAATTAATGTTATGTTACTATTATTTTGTTTGCTGGATAGTATTTTAATTTTAATTTATNTATTTATTTTTATTAATTTTTATGGACTTAATTTAGATTAAAAAATTTTTCTTTAACAGACTTAGAATATTTTATTTTTTTCTTTTATTTTCATACGTTTTATGCTCTCTGTGTACTCTTCTAACCTTTACAATCTTTTCTTACTATCTGTCATTTACAATTTCAAGATGGCGATGAAATGTTGCAAGTTATTCTGTTTAGCGAACCTCCTCTTACACGGAACATTTTTCATAGCCACTTTTACTTTGTGTAGTTAAGTCTCCTTATTCTTACTTCGTGGTAAAAAACGAACGCAGCCTAGTACGGCAATGGGTGCGTTCAGACAACTCAACAGTTGCACAACGGTTGAGAGATAATCACTTCTGATTGGATCATACTTTTGGAACCAAAGCAGATTTTAAAGAATAATCCTATCATAAGTGATGATCTCTCAACCGTTGAGTTGTCTGAACGCACTCAATGATACTACCAGAGAGAAGCCTGAGAGCGGCCATGCCATTGTAGTTTCTTACGACGGTTTCAACCTCTGGTTTTAGCCATATTTCTACAAAAGTGGAACTCAAAGGCCGTTTTACATTAAACGCAAGTAACAGATCTCGTGGAATTGACCAATTGCAGAGTTAAATCAGCCAATCGACCAACGTGATTGATCAGTTCCACGAGACCTGCGACTTGAGTTTCATGGAGAACGGCCTTTGAGTTCCACTTTTGTGGAAATACGGCTAAAACCAGCGGTTGAAACCGTCGTAAAAAACTACAATATGTCTGTTCGTTTTACCTGAACTGGCCGCTCTAGGTCAGAGTTTATCCTTCTTTTTTCAACGTAGAATAAAGAAGATAAACTCTGACCTAGAGCGGCCAGTTCAGGTAAAACGAACAGACATAATGGCATGGCCGCTCTCAGGCTTCTCTCTGATACTACTATTTAAGAGCGCATGCGTAAAAACACAGCTTTTAGAAGAAACTGATTGGCGGTGCATACGCGAAAACGCGACTTTGCAACAACACTGCCTGAACACAAGAGCTTGGCATTTGCTCCTCTCGTGAAAGGGCAACACGCTATTTAAGCAAAGAAGAGTGTAATATCTGTATAATACATCATAAAAAAACAACACATTTTAAATGTAATACCTTAAAACCAACTGTGGAAACTACTCTATCGTAATACTCCGTGATCACGTGTGGAAACCACGGTTTTAATCCTAACTTCAATGAAGACTTAGAATGACGTATGGACTAGCTGTAAGGGTCCACTGAGCCATAAGAGCACCAGTAACCATTTTAAATGTGATGATTAATAAACACATTAAATATTTAATAAAAAGAAGGAAATTTTAACGTTTTATAATTCGTCTTGCAGGACAGAGCAATACTTTGTGCCAGATTTTTTTATTTTGCGAAAAAACGTTGAATAATCATAATTTTGTTAATATTAAACTTTTAATATTCTACTTGAACTTATCTGCTAAACTTTCGTCACGTTTTCTCGTTTTTTTATCAACTTAATTTTTTTCTTGTTTTGTTTTTCTTTAGGATTTAAATCCGTTATATTTGATGTATTGACAAGTGTCAATATGAGAAGATAAAATAACGTAAAGTCAACATTATCACATAAAATAGTGAATAGTAGGTGAAAGTCGTTTTCACTCATATCTAAAATATTAAATATGTCTTTTCTTCGTGGCTCTGCCAATTATGTTTGGTGTACTACTAGCGTGCTTGGCAAGGGTGCGACTGGCGCGGTATTCCAAGGTGTTAACAAAAATAATGGAGAACCTGTTGCGGTCAAGACCTTCAATCAGCTCAGTCATATGCGACCACCTGACGTGCAAGTGAGAGAGTTTGAGGTCTTGAAAAAGGTCAAACATGAAAACATTGTTAAATTGTTGGCGATTGAAGAAGAGCAAGAAGGTAGAGGTAAAGTAATTGTAATGGAACTCTGTACTGGAGGTAGTCTTTTCAATATCCTCGACGATCCGGAAAATACTTATGGTCTCGCTGAGAGTGAGTTTTTATTAGTATTGGAACACTTGTCAGCTGGAATGAAGCACTTACGTGACAATAATTTAGTTCACAGGGATTTAAAGCCAGGTAAAAACATTTATAAATAATGTAACTTGTATATAGTTTGCATTCAAGAAATATTAAGTTTTCACGTTATGTTCTCACTCTTCATTCAGGTAATATAATGAAATTTATTGCTGATGATGGCAGTACGATATACAAGCTTACTGATTTCGGAGCTGCTCGTGAATTACAAGAAGATCAGCAATTTGTTTCTTTGTATGGCACTGAGGAATATTTGCATCCAGATATGTATGAACGTGCTGTTCTGAGAAAACCTGTTGGCAAAACATTTGGTGCAACTGTTGATTTATGGTCTATAGGTGTGACACTTTATCATGTAGCAACAGGAAATTTACCTTTTAGACCATTTGGTGGACGAAGAAACAAAGAGACCATGTTCTATATCACAACAAAGAAAGCATCAGGTGTGATATCTGGACTACAAACTTCGGAAAATGGACCAATCATATGGAGCACAGAACTGCCTCAAACCTGTCAGTTGAGCACTGGTCTTAAGAAAATAGTCACACCATTACTGGCTGGCTTGTTGGAAGTAGATCCACAAAGAATCTGGAGTTTTGATCGATTTTTTAATGAAGTTACAGACACGCTTTGTAGAAAAGCTATTCACATATTTAATGTTCATAGAACTAATTTGATTAAGGTGTTTCTACATCCGGAAGAAAAGCTGGTTGCTCTGCAGATACACATTCAAGAGCAGACTGACATTGCACCTCAAGCGCAAATTCTTCTTCTAGGAGAAATTCCTCTTGTAAATCTTGTTGAAGAATCTACATCTGGCAAAGGATATCCCAATACTAGCAATGACAAGCCGTTGATACTATTCTCACGAGAAAATAATAACGTCGTATTGCCAGTAGAAAACGAACTGCCTAAATTTCCCGTTTTTGCGAATCTTGTTTCTGTAGAGAATGATGCGAGCCAAGCCAAGGTTGCGTGTTCAGTCGGACATGTTTGTAAACGTAGAATTGACAAATTAGCATTGTGTAGTAAATTGTTGAGAGACGCCATAGAAGCGTTCAGCGGATTTTTGTCTACAGAACTTACTCGAGTCTTGGGAAAGTGTCAGCATTCGAAAGAATTCACAAAAACTATAGAAGACACTGTTTTGGCGATAGAAAGATGCGAGAGTTTTGCCAGGTATGTGTTTCGAAAATTTGGAAGTCAAATCGTGATAGAAGTGAAAAATTGGCGAAAAGAATTGGACATAAAAAGCAAAGATCTTGTGACTGGATTAACCCCAGCGATAATGCAACTTCATCAGAGGTAAATAATTATTGTAAATATATACAAGGTGTCCCATCTTAAATATCTTGTTTATTTTTTATGATACAAAACAATGTCAGAGGAAAACATTATTTAGTTCAAAGGAGCAAATATTCTGATACGCATCAACTTTTTCTCAAGATCATATTTTTGAAATTTTAAGGTTACCAATGTTTAATAGCGAGCAGAACAGGTGTAAATATATACAAACTATAAAGGGCCTTCTACAATAAGATATTAGTAATAAATCAGAAGTCAGAAGCAAGAAATTGACTAATCACAATCGATTATTCTTCTGTGATATGACTGTGATTGGTCAATTTCTTGCTTCTGACTTTTGATTTATTACTAATATTAACATACAAACATGTTTTTTCGGGTTTGAACCGCGTTAGTGTCATTTTTATACCTAATATTTTTATTACTAATATCTCATTGTAGAAGGTCCTTAACGTATATACTACAAAATGGCTTAGTTTATACCGTACATCTTTTTTGATACGCAAATCAAATAAAATTTGTTTTTTAATGTATAAGTTTGGTATTTACATTATTATAATTGTGCTTGATACGCATGCCATTTTGCTACAATACGCGTGAAGAAAGCGTATCGTACCAGCTTAATATGACATCGTTTACATTATTGAGACCAAACCAATTTAATACGAACATAGTACTTAATACGTGTAATAAGGATTGATGTAAAGTAGGCCAATATGTGATATCTGTAAAACCTTACCTTTTCACAAAAAGGTAAGAACAGGCGCCAAGTAANCGCACAACACGTATTGTATTTAAACTAAGAATATTAACTCAAACTGTTTTTCATTATTAATTTTTATTTGTCCAAAAAAATGTAAGTCAATTTTTATTGTATACAAAAAAGTCTTTCTCTAAAAACCTGTTTTACAAAAGAAATGATATCAAAAAGTAGCACCAAGTAAACTTTTGTACGTTATTATATTATTATATCATTATATTATTACGGTATTATTATGTTGAAAAACAATATATAATAGAAAACAATATAGAATAGAAATAAAATTTACAATAACATATTTGTGTCAATAGTAAGACTACGTCTTAAATTTTTTTCCGTAATTATTAACTAATCTTAAGTACATAACTATGTATTTTGATAAGATTATAGTTATTACTAGAACACAAAGGTGTGACAAAAAAATTTTACAATTAATAATCATCTCGGGCTCTAAGTCTTTAGACTAATCAATGAATATAATTGGTCTTGAAGCGCCGTTCGCTGGATGTTGTGCGAAGAATGTGTCTATATATACAGGGTGTCCCACAACTCACGACCTTAAATTAAATGACGTATTCCTGAGATCATTTTGAAACGAAAGTTCTAATACCATATTGTCGAGGCTACAATACTTTTTGAATTATAAGCGTTTAAAAGTGACCTATCTGGTGGTCTGTTTTTCACGCGCTCAGGTACGGCGCATCGTACATGACAGTTCTTGTTTCGATATACTTAATATTTTGATAATTATGCAAATTTTCTAAAAAAACGTTTTTTATTGAATTATAGTTACATAAACATAATATTAATACAGTGCGTATGTAAATGTAAACAGTTTCATCAAAGTCTTGTAGAATTTTAATCACGTGTTTGACGAGCTGTCAAAGTTATAGTATGAAATTGGCATATGCTGTATTGATTTTTTTGGTTTTTTTGTAGTAAAGTTGCTGCAATCAATAATTTTAATATACTCGGGAATTTAATAACATTTCTATTTATTATATTTATTTAATATTATACAAAAAAAATAAAATATTTTTTCAATTAATAACAAACAAATCTTAAAAATAAATATTAAATCAAATAATAATAAATATGTACATATTCCAATTGTAAATAAAATAACAGTAACTACTATTTCAATAGAATAACATTAACAAAATAATTAGTACATTTTAATATTGGAACATTTATTATAATACAATAGTACATTAGTATATTTTACATTAGTACATTTTAATATTGTAACATTTATTATAATACAATATTAAAATGTACTAATTATTTTGTTAATGTTATTCTATTGAAATAGTAGTTACTGTTATTTTATTTACAATTGAAATATGTACATATTTATTATTATTTGATTTAATATTTATTTTTAAGATTTGTTTGTTATTAATTGAAAAAATATTTTATTTTTGTTGTATAATATTAAATAAATATAATANTTTAATATTTATTTTTAAGATTTGTTTGTTATTAATTGAAAAAATATTTTATTTTTGTTGTATAATATTAAATAAATATAATAAATAGAAATGTTATTAAATTCCCGAGTATATTAAAATTATTGATTGCAGCAACTTTACTACAAAAAAACCAAAAAAATCAATACAGCATATGCCAATTTCATACTATAACTTTGACAGCTCGTCAAACACGTGATTAAAATTCTACAAGACTTTGATGAAACTGTTTACATTTACATACGCACTGTATTAATATTATGTTTATGTAACTATAATTCAATAAAAAACGTTTTTTTAGAAAATTTGCATAATTATCAAAATATTAAGTATATCGAAACAAGAACTGTCATGTACGATGCGCCGTACCTGAGCGCGTGAAAAACAGACCACCAGATAGGTCACTTTTAAACGCTTATAATTCAAAAAGTATTGTAGCCTCGACAATATGGTATTAGAACTTTCGTTTCAAAATGATCTCAGGAATACGTCATTTAATTTAAGGTCGTGAGTTGTGGGACACCCTGTATATATAGACACATTCTTCGCACAACATCCAGCGAACGGCGCTTCAAGACCAATTATATTCATTGATTAGTCTAAAGACTTAGAGCCCGAGATGATTATTAATTGTAAAATTTTTTTGTCACACCTTTGTGTTCTAGTAATAACTATAATCTTATCAAAATACATAGTTATGTACTTAAGATTAGTTAATAATTACGGAAAAAAATTTAAGACGTAGTCTTACTATTGACACAAATATGTTATTGTAAATTTTATTTCTATTCTATATTGTTTTCTATTATATATTGTTTTTCAACATAATAATACCGTAATAATATAATGATATAATAATATAATAACGTACAAAAGTTTACTTGGTGCTACTTTTTGATATCACTTCTTTTGTAAAACAGGGTTTTAGAAAAAGAATGTTTGGAGTATATATTGTTTTGTAATCAGGTTTTATAGAGAAAGACTTTTTTGTATACAATAAAAATTGACTTAAATTTTTGTAGAAAAATAAAAAATAATAAAAAACAGTTTGAGTTAATATGCTTAATTTAAATACAATACGTATTGTGCGTGTACTTGACACCTGTTCTTACTTTTTTTTTTTTAAAAAGGTAGGGTTTTTGAGATATCATATATTTTGTAGTATATACATTATAGTTTAGGAAATACATTAATACTTATCTTTTTTGAAAAGATAAGGTTTTTGAGATATTATACAGTTTGTAGTATATACGTTATAGTTTAGAAAATACTTCAAGATGGAAAAACAATATTTACATCATCAACCAATTTTCAAAACAGTTTACTTTAAAAAAGTTATATCATCCGAGAAAAAATGACAATTGATCAGTTGATCTATTAGAGATAATAATTCTTGATAGATAATATGATCAGATTTTTGGACAGTAAAATGAAAATAAAATATATTTCCACTGTGCGCAAAACAGCACATTGCGAAAAACTGTTGGAGCGATCGGTATACTGTTGGATGTGTTGCCGGAGTTTGAGTTTTTTGCAAAATTCGTTTACTTGTTTTCTGAATTAATTTTCTACTTTATAAATTTTAAGTATATAATTTGTATTTACTGCGTGTCAAGTTTCAAAACAATATAGATTTTCTTAAAAAAGAAAGTTATATCGGAGATGTTGCCGGCGCGAAACCACTACGCCGCGAGGAACGTTGTCAGAGCGATCAGTACTATCGGAGGTGTTGTCGGCGCGAATAATGCAAACTACTACCATACTTTCTCTCTTTTTTCTTTATCTCACACTTCCCGTCTTTCTTTCTCTTTTCTTTTTTCAACACGCTTGTATATGTATGTCATCTGGTAGCAGGCATACGAATATGCACACAATTTGATTGCACGACGACAATGATGACAGTGACGACGTTTCTGAATGTAAATTTCACATACATTTTTGTTTATCTTTCATTATCTCCGTTCACACAGACCAAAAAAAATGCAATAATACGTTTTTGTAATATTTTATTCTAAATCGATTAAGACTAAAACAATTGATCGGTTCAGTCGTTATTGAAATATTGCTCTGTGAAAATCTTTGCTCTCTTTCATTACCTGAATTTCGCGTATAAGAGGCATGATGCACCTCGCGCAGTTCGAGCGTCACTTTGTTGCGCGTAAACTTGGCGCGAAGCACTACCGTGCTTCTTGATATATCTTAACTACAATAGTACTACATTATTACAAATGCAAAACGTATTCAATGACATTAGACCTTTTGCAATTATTCAAACTTGTGTGCTTTGCGATGTTCTTGTCGTCTTGGCTTGTGCTCTATGTTATACAATTTATTTTCATTTACTGTGCAAAACTTTGACCATATTATCTATCAAGAATCATTATCTCTAATGGATCAACTGATCTATTGTCTTTCAATAATAAGTAATTGTATGTAACTAAAGAAGACTTTAGTTAGAGATCGAAATGTTTCGCATTTGTAATAATGTAATACTAGGTAAAATATAGAGTAAAATGATCAAAAGTGGACCCCCAGTTTGTTTTTTGGTTATCCTGAGTAGGTATAAAGCGTAAAAAATTTTCTAACACTCTAAAACAACTTTGTCATTATTATTTGTTATGTTCCTGCAATAAAAATATTTTACTAATAAAACAAATTTATGAAATTAATTAATATTATTATCATGAAATTAATTTTGTTAGTAAATATGGGAAATCTCACTTTTCATAAAAGTGTAAAGGCCTCTAAAGGGCTCGATTGGTGACTATAATACATCACATTCATAAACCAACATGAGTAAAGTAGGAACATGTATTGGGAATATAGTAAAAAAATAAAATACTATAGTTTTAAAAATACAGTATTTTATTTTTTTAAATATACAGTGTTTGTATGTTTCTTTTTTAATTTGACAGCTCTAATTTCTATATAACCTCATTGTTTGTAAATACATATGGAAAAAGGAGAGCGACATAAGCCACTGACTTGCAAACAAAAGGCTT